TTTTGCATTGTATATTTCCATTTTAATCCTGACATAACTCTCAAAGATAAAGCACTTTTTGAACATGAAATACATGGATCATGTGTGATGTGGATCATGGTTTCTCAGGCTCCTCTAGATAATCCGCTTAGTGAATATTGTTCTATGTAAGGAGAGTAGAGATCTTTGCTAATACTAGAAAGTTTGTATTATTGATCCAGAATGCATTTGCTAGTTTCCAATGGATGGGAGAGTAAACAATGCTGCATTCACAATAAGTTACTTTCCCTTGAGCCTTAAGGTAACTTTTTCTTTTCTGTCAACACAGCACTGAAGTTATAGTAAGTGAATGAGATTATCAGTTTTCAGGGTTGGTTTTAGAGTACTGTAAATCAATTAGCTGTCTTCCTAAAGAGTTACAACTCCCATTCCATGTATTGGACAGTGGGTGTGGGGAGGGGGGCTAGGGAAGGGAGGGAGGGAGTTTGTAGAAAAGAAAAAAAGCCACGTTTACCTTAAAATATAGACAAAAAAGAAGAGAAGTTCATGTCCTGTCCTGTTTGAAATTTCAGATGTAAGGTAGGAATGGCAAAGTATAACTTTATTCCCCCTGCTTTTAATTTAGAAAAACTAGGTTGTTAGTTTTTAAATATAAGAAAGAGATAATCTGCTAGACTCATGAATGGTGAATTCTGTTGCTATATCTGACTTTGGTATTTAAAGTCACCTTTCTCAGTACTCAGTCTTCAAACCTAGTTTCATTACTAAAAGATTTGATAAACTTGCACATGAACAAATGTGACCTAGTTGTCAGTACTGAAAATTAAATTTGGAAAATGGAAAAGGAAAATATTGCACTGTAAAGATTTTTTTTTTTACTCTAGTATTCCCAATTGCTATGTATATTGATCCAAATTGAGGCCTTTATGAATGTATTTTATATTTCCTAATAAAATAGGAAATATGCCATCAATGTAATGATGTAATTACCTGTATTCACATTTTTACTTTCATTTGAAAATCAAATGCCTCTCGTATTAGACATTCCGATTGGGATAGGTAGAGCTATGTTAAAACAAGGGCAAATGCCATATTTGCAATTTCACTCAGTAGGATTTGTCATAAAGGGAGGACAGAGCTTTTTTAGAAGTTAAAGCTTTACCCCACCCCCAGATGATTCTAACAAACACTTTGGTGAAAGAGTTTAACTATGCTTTTAATTAACGTGAAATTTTGAATCTGATCAAATTTTATTTCCCATACATCATACCATCCACTGACATGGAATAAAAGGGTGATCATACCATTTGTGTGTGTGTGTGTGCTATGAAATAATGGGTCCAGAATTCTGGAGAGAAAGCAATAGATCTGTTCAGTGTCCACTCCCGTATTCCAGAAGGCATGAGTGTGTCTCTCTTTTCCCCTACCTTCAGGAAACTTCAATGGCTAACTTTTTTAAGAAAATTCACTTAGACCATCTTTTATTTCTTAAAGGCAAAGTATTTTGTGCCTTCTGTTGCAAGATCAAGCTGGTTAGTAAAATCTTAATGTTTGGAATTAGAGTGACAGGTTTGTTTCTTCACTGTTTAAATTTCTTTTTCAGACAAATGTAAGTGCAGGAGAGCCCCAAGAAAATGAACAGGATTCTATCACTGAACACACATCTGTGCTGGAGGAATGTGAAGGTTTCATAGTAAACCATCTCCTCCAAGCCCACATCAACATCTGTCCATTGAACAAAAGCTCTCCATGAACAGTCAGTAGGTTGGGCAGAAAGTCTAGAAGCTTGGTTGTAAGTCAGTGTTACATACTTTACAAAATGTGGTGTTCTGTATATTTGGGTAGCAGGCCAGTGTATTTGAGTTACTTTTCAGTGACATAGATATTTAAAGTTATTAAGCTCATCAGTGTATTTGGACTTTTTTAAGTGAGAACAGTTGTCTTAATAGGCATCTATCCTCCTGTTGGATCCTCATACACCTTTCCAGTCACTGGTCTTCACACGGTGCAGATGACACGCTTTCTGTTTTGTAGGAATCTTCACTACCTGTCATGTCTGTCAGTGGCTTTGTTAGATTAGACTCTTCACTCCAAAGCTGGACTGATGTCCTTCTAATAGGGAATCTACAAAAATAATTTGAATGAATTAAAACCAAATCTTGATAGCAGGAGACAGCTTCCTGGTCTAGATGTACAATTAGTGTTTAGGTTGGAAATTACTTTTAAGAGGGTTTTTGGGATGTCCTTAGTCTCTGTGTAAATACCAACATGCTTCTTATGCAGTGTAAACCAGTGTGTATGCCTGTGTATGAATTTGTAGAGCTGATTTCTGCTTCAAGTGAAGCCGCACCTTTAATTTTGTAAGGTCCCCTCCACCTGGAACCCTATAAATGTTTGTAAATAGAACACTAAAATTTGTAGTGGTAGGATCAATTTGGGAAATATCTGCTGAGAGACCAAAAAAGTTCATTTTTTTAAGTACCTTGGTTAAAGAGTAAAGATTATTCCTCTTATTTTTAAAAAGAAGAATGCACTTTAACAAACATAGAGCTGCATGGGCAATTCAAACAATTCCATGAAGTGCAGTACCCATTCAAATCACACTTCCTGAAAACCGTTCAAAGCAGAGTCCAGATGGGCTGTTGATCTCACTGCCTGTAGGTTGAAGCTCAGATTCTGATCAGTTGTGAGATGAGCAGGGCTGCTTCAAAAGAGCAACGTGAATACAGCCAGAAGCTTCAGACAGGTCTGTAAAATGGCGGGTCCCGGATTTACCACTAACTAGCAAAACTGACAGAAAAACTCATAGAAATAAAGTTTAAGAATCCTTCCTGCTGGTGTGCACTCCTTATGATAGCAGACTTTTGCAAATGGAGTTTTACAGTCTATATTTAAAAAATTGTATGTTTGTAACAAATAAAGTATGCGGAAAAGTGAATGACAGTCCTGTGCCAATGTGTCTTATTTAAGGGACCACGTGATGATTGGGGTAGGAAATGTCTGTCATCCGTTGGAGCTCACAGTGGTATGGGTTTGAGGGAGTTTTCACTTGAAATGACCTGAACTCCAGCCAGTTTCAGAACCTCTGGGTTTCTGTGGAGTAAGAGTTGATAATTGTATTAATTGTATGCTTTGGTCCATAATCCGGCCACTTTATTGTTTTTTATTTTTCCTGTTACTTGGAAGGTTTCACAAAAAGCTTGCTTCCCCAAGTCATCGTTCATTTATCAGCCTAGTGGAAGACTGACTGAAAGGCAAGTTAGCCCAGTCTTTTGCCCTATTAAAGAAAAAAGATGATTGTGTCCAATGGTCCTGGCCTGAGAGTCCCAAGTTTTTTTACCCCAGGGAGTGCCTCTTTCTTTTTTTCTTTTCTTTTTTTTTTTTTTTTTTTTTTGTTTTTTTTTTGACAGGGT